TTTTTAATGAGGGAGTATAACCTAGCATCTCAAAATTTCAGTGGCTTAAAAGAAACAACTATATGTTATTTCTCAGTTTTTCTCTAGATCAGCAATTTGGGCAGGCTTAGGCCTGTGGTCCTACTGGTATTGGTTAAAGTACATGCTTGGAGGCATTCAGTTGTTGGCTGGGCTGGCTAGGGGCACCCCAAAGGCTTTGTTTGCACGGCTGGGGCCACAGTGCTCCTTTGTGTGGCTTCTTTCCCTCTTTCCACGGTGTCTCACCCCCCAGGGCCACTCCACAAAGTCTTTCTTTCTAGCTGAACTTCCTCATAGCAAGGTGGCTGACTTCCAAGAGTGAAAACTGAAACTCCCACTTCTCATCAGGGCTAGGTCCAGAACTGGCAAAGCCTTCCTTCTAGCACTTTCTGTTGGTCAGGATAAGCCACAGGGACAGGGTCAACCCAGAGTCAACAGGAAGGTAAAGCCTTCCTTCTGGCACTTTCTGTTGGTCAGGGCAAGCCACAGGGTCAACCCAGAGTCAAGGGGAAGAGAAATGGGCTCTTCCTCTGGAAGATGGGGGAGTATGATTTGCATGTACAATGAGGAGAGAAGTTGATGGCTCCTATCTTTGGAAGCCAAAGCCATCAAAGCAAGGCAAAGACACTGTTTTAGCTCCCTATGGGAATTGTGGGAAAACAAGATGGAGGAAAGAAACTAATAAAACTAGAGAAGGTCTTGCTCAGACTTCTGAGGAAGATTGGGTGTCATAAATGTGGAACCAGAAATAAGTATTCTTAGCCATTGCTTTGTCATTTTGTGTGTAACTGCCATTTTTAGAATTTTAGGTTTTGCTGTCCTGGGAATGACGACTGCATTCCAGAGATATCAACAGTTTCGACCGACCCTCACTCCACACTTGCCCTCCGGTCTCCAATGAGGGAGAACTTGCCGTAATTGTAGCTGCATCTCAGCCAGAGCAATCAGCTTAGAATTATAGCCGCACACAAGTTGAAGAACACATCCTTGTAGCCAATGAGAAACTGCCAGCATGATTTAATTTTTAAAACTCCTTGTAACCCTATATAAAACCCCTGCTTCCTTTGTTTGGGGCTCTCTCGATATCTGCCACTGCGTCGGTAGGTGCTGTGAGCCCAGACTTGAGTCTGTAATAAACTCCCTTTTGTGTTTGCATTGGCTGTCTCTGGGTTCTTGGAGGCTATGCTCACTGAGTCTGCCGATCTTGGGCACAACAATAAACTCAGGAACAGAACTAACCAACCTTTCTGTACCTGAGGTACTAGAAAAAAAAAAACCCGCAAACCAAAGTCAACCAAATAAAACCCAAAGCAGAAGACCCCCCAAAAAATGTAAATGCGGGGGGCCTCCCCGGTGGCTCAGCGGTTGAGCGCTGGGTTGCGAAGCTGCCCGCAGCCTCCGCGGTGCCGGTTCGATCCCCGGCTGCTCCCAGGCCACCGGAGGAGGGTCCCACATGGCGCGCAGACCTCTCCTGCCACCCGCTGCTCCCCTCAGCAGTGTACTTCGGTCCTCTGCTGCTCTGCTCTCCCCTCTGGATCTGGTGAATTCTCTCACCCTCCCGCACCTCTGACTGTACCCAGTGCATGTATAAACAAACAAACAAACAAAATAAATAAATAAATTAAATTAATAAAGCATGCCTCTATAAAAAAAAAATGTAATGCCATGTAATAAGGAAATTTTGGAATAGCTAAGTATGTGTCAATTTTGGTAAATTAAATGCTGACTTTCAATTAGGGAAAAGAGAGGGATGCATAGTATCTCTCTCATTTTCTCTGTTCTATCTCCCCAGAAGTGAGTAGCTGCTGCACCTCCCCCTGCAGTGACCTTTAGGGCTAATGGCTTTCGCCAAGGTCCCTAGGTCCGGCTGGGCAAGCGCAGGGGAGTACAGCAAAGTTCCCTGAAGACATAGATAAGACAGAAGCTTATCAAAAGATTAAGACCACCAGGAGCTAAAAAACCTTATCTCGTCTTTCTAGAACTACAAACTTTATCCCTTTATTGTCTTTCTAAACTTCCTTCTTTCTTCTATAAAGGTCATTGGTTGTTAATTAAAAAATCATATGAAATCCTTAACACAAGTCTGACTCAAATGAAATGTTACTAAACCCTGTAATAATTAAAATATAGTTTAGGTGAAAAAAGTAGTTAGTAAAACAAAAAATGCGATCATATAGTTTAAAAACAAAACTAATGGTCTATCTACTTAGGAATGAGGTAAATCACTCAGTGATAAGCTAAATCCATTCACTGTTCTGTGCTTTTGGAAACATATATATACTGGCAACTAACTTAAATAAAATCGCACTCAGATTTACACTCTCTCTTGAAGTGTGTCTGTTTGTCATTTCTTCAGCTGAATCCCTGACCACCCTGCGCAGTCTCTCAACCCTGAGACGGCCTCATCGTTCACTGCTGTGCTGGTCCGCGGCAGGTAGCTTATACCCTAAAACTTAGAATCAGTTCAGTCACTGCGGTTGGCTAGTGAGAATTTCCCCCTTCCCCACTCCTGGACAGCAGTTGGTAAATCTTGACATGCAGTAGACAATGCATTTGTTAAGTTCTTGCCTGTATCTTGGAACTAAAACCATATCCCTGCCAAGATTGTGACTTCCTAGGAGTGTTTTTCATTTCCCCCTTTTAAAAAGACATTTATTCAATGTCGTGATTGGACTATTACATCTAGTAATCAAAAACATGGGTGCAAAACAAACTACATTAAAACCCTTTGTTGGAATGTGCTCCACTTTCCACAGAACAGAAACTGAAATAATCTGTTATGCGATTAGTCACAAATACAGCTCTTGAGTTCTTTGAGTTCACATACGCATGAGTATTATCTAAAACATGTCGTCTTTGTCAGTGTGATGTTCTGACACTGTTGTGCTTGGCTGAGTTCACAAATCTGTCCTAACACGAAGCTTCCCTGTCACTTCTCTGCCTCTCCTCTTGCTAAGCTTTGTTTCTTAGCATTTAATAAAAATGTTTGAAATTGTCACAGCTACTGCAGTCCCCCGCAACCTGGTTTCTTGTTTGGCTAAGTACTGGCCTCCACCACTGTAGGCTCCAGAGCTTTGGCCTCCAAAGTTTCTTCCTTGCATTGGTCCAAAATATGACTGTTGCAATTGCTAAAGTCCTTGTAGCTTTCGTCATCTCCAAAATTGCTTCCATCATTACCAAATCTGTTACAGCCCTCCCCATTGCCACCATATCCACCACCATGGCTACCACCAAAGCACCTTGACCACTGAAGTTTCCTCCATGACTAAAGTTGTCATTCATGGGAGTTTTTCACCAACTTTGTGTTGCGACCCATTAGAAGGTTGGGAAACTCAATTTATTTGGTCATGAATGCCAACTTAAGGGAGGTATTGCTTTGTGAAACTTTCATGTCAATACCATATCTACAAAATCATTCACTCATTTATTCATTCAACCACTCATTCATACAACAAGCATTTGTTGAGCACCTATTATGTGCCTGGAGATTCAGAAGGAAGGAGAACAGAAAGTCTGCTTGCACATGTTCTCTAGATCACAAAGCTTTGGTCACTGTAGGAATATGAGACCATGAGCAAGGGGTTACTTCCTGTGTATGTCAGAAAGTCACCCTAAGAAAAGCACAGGCCTCTGTTTGAACACCTTTCCAGTATCGGGGGAAACAGAGCAGCTTTAGAAGAGAAACTCTGCCTGTAACCTGCAGCCCATTGAGTGAGGCCAGAAAATCATGGGTGAAAACTGTGTTTTCTTTCCCAAGCTATTGCTAGTGTAGACAATAATCATTAATCATGTTTCTTAGTCTATAGAGCCCCATCTTCCTCAGAGGACTGTGAAGACCCCCCCCTTTTTTTTTTAAAGATTTATTTATTTATTTATACAAGCACTGGGTACAGTCAGAAGCGCGGGAGGGTGAGAGAATTCACCAGAGCCAGAGGGGAGGGCAGAGCAGGCAGAGTGACAAAGTACACTGCTGAGGGGAGCAGCGGGCGGCAGGAGAGGTCTGCTTACCATGTGGGAACCTCGCCGGCAGCCGGCGCTGCAGAGGCTGCAGGCAGCTTCGCAACCCAGCGCTCAACTGCTGTGCCACTGGGGAGGCTCAAGACCCCCTCTCCTGAGGTATGATTTTCTCCTCGACCTTGTTTCTTCCCAATCTCCCTGCCCTCTCTCCCTCTTCCCTGAGGGAGAGTTTGAGTTTCCCGACCTTCTAATGGGTCACAACACAAAGTTGGTGAAAAACTCCCATGAATGACAACTTTAGTCATGGAGGAACTTCAGTGGTCAAGGTGCTTTGGCGGTAGCCATGGTGGTGGATATGGTGGCAATGGGGAGGGCTGTAACAGATTTGTTAATGATGGAAGCAATTTTGGAGATGACGAAAGCTAAAAGGACTTTGGCAATTGCAACAGTCATATTTTGGACCCATGCAAGGAAGTCACATACCTCCCCCAGGCTCCTGTGAAATGGGAACAACAAAAGCACCTGTGTCTGGAGGTGCTCTGTTGTGGGGCTACACATGTGGGTTGAGCTGATCCCAGTAGTAGTGATAATTAGACAAAGACTTTGCTAGATAATCAAAGTGAGGATCTGAACTCAGGCATAGTCTGATAGACTTTGAGGGAACGTCTCTGCCATTCACTGGTTTTAATGCAGGGACACACCTCAGGAAAGATGGGAGTAATTATTTTCTTAGGTCAAATGGTACAGTGTCCAGTGGGTTAGGTTTTGGCAAGGGTTTTGGTTTTCATTTACAGGATTTAAAGTGTCAGACTTTCCCGACTGTTCTGTCTGTCCATGGAGGGAGGTGAGGCACTGTCCTCACACCGTATCCTAACTCTGCGACCAGATTCTTGGATGGGTTCTCCTTGTTTTCATGTTTCTCTAATGACCTTCTGCTCAGAGCAGTTGCTGATTTCATTTCCTCACAGGTGTGTGGATTTTTTTCTGTTGGTGTCTTCACAGAGCGGGCCAGACAATTCTGACTGAGTCTGGGCCAGGGTTTTGAACTTCCTTCCCACCTGTCAGAGCAGGGAGCGGGATCCCCAGACATGACTTCAACTCTCACGTGAGTGACCTTGCAGATCTTCACAGCAGTGGGGTGGGTGAGGCCAGGGGTGGTGCCTGGGCTGTGGAAGGTGCTTACTGAGGTTGAACTCCTGCTGCAGGGGATGATGCCTCTGTGAAGCTCTTCTCTCCTTCCCCTGCTACCTCCACTCTGGTTTTGAGGGCTCTCCTCCCCAGGACAGTGAAGCCAGTCAGGCCTGAGCTGGGCAGCCCAGTGGTTGAGCCTGCAGGAAGCTGGGGCCCGCCAGGGTCATGGGTCTGGATTGGGCAAGAGCTGAGATTGGGCCCCTCTGATCCTGGTCAGGGATATTTGGAGACACATGTAACTCTGGGAAACTCAGAGGCAGGATGTGGAAGGGGAGGGACAGAAGGGAAAGAGGAAACTGTACCCCTGGCCCTTTCTGGCTAGGACCCCTCCTGACCTGTGCAATGAGGAATGAAGTGACTGGCCTATGGAGGTGTGGGGTGAGTAGGAGCTCCCCTTCCCTGGGGAAACAGAGACGGTTCTGTCCCCTGCCCCCCACTACACTTTGCCTGAGTTCCAACTCCATTTCTACTTCTATTTACTGTCCAAAGTCCCAGGGGCAGGAGATGCCAGGTTAGAACCACTCGGACAGACGCACGGGCTCAAGGCCCTCCTGGGGTCACCCCCCTCCTCTCCTCTCCTCTTCTAGCGCTGCCTGCCCCACTTCTGAACCTTAGCCTCTCCTTTGCCCTGGGGTCCAGGTTGCCTGAGGGACCTAGGAATCAGCCCCCACACCTCGAACAGGTAACCCAGGTTGGTAGGCGTGTGCGATTGGGGAGTTTGAAATTAAGGAGACTCTGGTTCAGGCACAGTGGAGGCCAGATGGGGAGGTGTGTGGTGGTTTGTTCCTTGAGAGTGTGGAGGGAAGGGTCCTAGCTGGGTCAGGTCCCAAGTAATGGCCTGAGAGGGTGGAAACCCAGTGTATGCCACATCCCAGCCCCAAACTCACTTCCCAACTCAGACGCAGCTCAGATCATGGCCTTGACCCACTCAGATGTTATGTTCAAGTCCATCATCTGCCTCCCCCTGAATTAGCATCTGAGCACTAGCATCAGCCCCAGACTCGGTCCTACCACCGACCCAACCTGCCAACTCCAGCTCCAGCCTGGACCAACATGGAGAAGGACTTTCAAGACATCCAGCAGCTGGACCCTGAAGAAGATGACCACCAGCTGGGTGGAGGCGAGAGGCCAGGAACTCATGAGGACAACCCCAGGAAAGAAGACCTGTTTTGGAAAGGCAAGTGTTCAGTTTCTAGCTGTCTAGCTCCCCGTGGCTCTCTGTCTCTCTGAGGTCTCTGTCATATTCACTCCATGACCAGGGACGAGGCCCCTCTGGGTGGGAGGTGCCTGATGCCTCTGCTTGCCCCCGACCTCGCCTTCTCTCTCCCTGCAGGGCCCCAGAAAAGGGCGTGTGTTAGGGCTCAGGGCAAAAATAGGTGCTGGGGACGACTCCTCCCTTCTCCTTCTGACCTGAGCAGAGTGTGCTCTGTGTGTGTGTGTGCGCACATCTGTATGTGTGTGCAAGAGAAACACACAGGAGAGTGTGCATGCATGTGTGGGGGGCTGGGCCGGGGCTTGGCTTGGGGCACAGGAGATCCTGAAAGATGGCCATCCCCTCCTCCCAGCCTCCATGCCTGAATCCTTCTGTAGCAAATTTTGACTAAAGGCCCCAAGTATTTGTGGTAAAGTTTTAACATGGGAGGGATTTGTGCTGTTCTAGGATGAAGGGCAGGAATCAGGGCTGGGGGAAGGGTGTCAGGTGTGTGGGTGCCAGGGATGGAGCCTGGCTCAGTGGAGACAGGAGCTGTTGGGGCTTAGAGCTCAGGGAGGAGGATTGGCTAGCCTGGGCTGGGAGGAGTGGCCCTACACATGAATACAATTATAATATCTGGGTTTTTTTAAGCTTAATATCTTTTTTTTTTTTTTTTTTTTTTTGGTTCCTGTCTGCTAATGCTGTCATCTGTGTCCGTTTAGATGGATTATTAGCTTCCTGATATGAGTTGTGTTTCTGGCTTCTTCCAATCTTTGATTGGATTCCAGACATTGTGAATTTTACCTTGTTGGGTGCTGGATATATTGGTATTGCTCTAAATATTCTTGAGCTTTGTTTGGGGATGGACTTAGGTAATTTGGAGTCAATTTGATTGATTTGGGTCTACTTTTATGATTAGGTGGGTCTAGAGTATCCCCACGGCAGCATTCCTGGTGGATGCCAGTGTGCAAGTGTGTGTGTGCAAAGACTAGAGGCTGGGGCCAAAGCCCCTGACTCCCCTAAAGCTGCCCCGGCATCTAGTTCCCCCACCACTCTCAGTTATACTTCCTCTGCCTTCCATTATCTAGATCCCCGCTCTGACCCCCCTCTTCCTGTCTCCCCTTCTTTTGCAGGGACTCCCCTGCCTCAGCCCCTCCTGCGGCAGCGTTTCTGCTCCAGGCACAGGCTCAGTCTGCTCGCCCTGAGCGTCAACATCCTGCTGCTGGTAGCCACGTGTGTGATCGGGTCCCAAAGTGAGGGTCACAGGGACCAGGAGGGGTGGGGGAGGTGATGGGGAAAGAGAAATGGGCAGTGCTGGGGCAAATATGGAGGCAGTGGTGCGTAGGGAGGGGGATAGGCACACAGATCAGATGACAATGGGGGCTCTCATACGGGACACAGCCCCCTTCACTTTGTCCTGTCCCCACTGTCTCCTGACAAGGAACGCAGTTGCAGATGGAGTTGTGGACCCTAAAAGAAAAATTCAGCAACTTCTCCTCTAGCACCCTGATGGAGATGGAGGCTCTGAGCTTCCATGGTGAGTGGGAAGGCACCTGTTGTGAGGGTTGGTGCTGGTGTCCAGTGCTGAGTCTGCAGTGGGGGCATGCTTGGTGCTGTGGGCTGCGGGCTGGGGCAGATCACCCAGCCTGAGATACTGGGTAAGGTTCAGGGCCACTGAATCTGAGCTGAGGGATGAACTGGGGTGAGGCAGGTAGAGGATGGATTAAAACCAGGCAGGGAAAACAGAATCTGTGGCACCAGGCGTGAGGGAGACTAAACAACTCCAGCCTGGCAGAACTAGGTGTTGAGAGAGCAGAGAGCAGGTCGGGGCTAGACCATGCAGGTTAATGATGAGAGTAACGATGTGAGGCTTTATTTGGAGGGAATGGGGACCTATTGAAGGGATTGAAGCAGGGGAGCGACCTGAGCAGGTGTGTGCTTCAGAAGTCTCTGTGGCAGCTCAGGGCACCTCCTAGATGTTGGGGCGCCAGGGGGTGGGGACCGCAACATCCCAGGTCAAGGTGATGGTGCCAGGACTACGCCCCAGGGAGGTGAGGACGCCCGGAGTTAAGGAGACAGAACCGAGAGGAAAGTTTAACTCCTCTCCCCGCCCCGTCCCTTGTTTTCAGGAGGCAGCTCTGGGAACAAAGTGACATCTCTAGAAACCAAAATGAACAAACAGCTGTTGGACCTGAAAACATGTGAGAAACCCCTCGGTAGTGCGTGAGAGGTGTGCGCCCGCGTGGCGTGAGTGTGGCGTGAGTGTGCTGCGCATGTGTGCGTCCACAGCCCAAGGCCTGTGCTGGGTCGTGAGGGTGGAGGGGCAGAGAGGCACCCACACAGCCCACATCGTAGCCCGTCCCTCTGTCCCTCTAGATCATTCCACCTTGCTCCTTCATCTGAAGCACTTCTCAGGGGATCTGCGCACCCTGTCTTGTCAGATGGCGTTCTTCCGCAGCAACGGTAGGGAGAGGGGCGGTCCCTGGTCCCTTTGTGCCTGTCCCCTCAGCAGGATCTCATCTCCCGCTGCCCCCTCACAGGCACAGAGTGCTGCCCGGTTAACTGGCTGGAGCATGGAGGCAGCTGCTACTGGTTCTCTCGCTCTGGGAAGACCTGGCCGGAGGCTGAGAAGTACTGCCGGCTGGAGAACGCCCACCTGGTGGTCATCAACACCAGGGAGGAGCAGGTGAAGCTGGAGCCTGGGTGGAGGCAGGAGGAACCCTGGGGTGTGCACTCTGGGGGGTGGTTCAGGCTCGCTTTATTAAGGTTTTTTTTTAACCTAAGGAAGACTCTAGAAAGGTTCTGGGAGGTTAAAAATAAATTAATTTTTATTTTATTCTTTTTTTAGAGATTTATTTATTTATGCATATAAGAACTTTTTAGAGATTTATTTATTTATGCATATAAGAACTGGGGTGTAGGCCAGAGGTTTGGATTTGGTGTGAGAGGATTCACCAGAGACAGAGTGGGGAGCAGAACAGGCAGACTGATTGAAATACACTGCTGAGGGGAGCAGTGGGAAAGACAGGAGAGGTCTGCTGTGCCATGTGGGTTATCTCCCTGGTCAGGGATCGAACTCAGAATGTGGTGACTGGCAATAACAGCTTTATAGCGCTGAGACTTCAACCTTGCGCCACCAGGGAGGCCACTTAGGTTGTATTTTCATCCTGAGAAATGCAGGTCAGTGACCCTTTTAATGTTTTTTGCCTTGACTTCATCTTTATGTGATATAAATAGAATGGGTCTTGATTTTTTAAAAAATTAATTAATTTTTAAAGGACGTAACTTTTTCTTACATCGTTGTTGATTTTGGGATGGTATATGATTTCTCCCCTCAGATGTGGTCTCCGTAGCTCTCTCACCATCAAAGTGCCCACAGTCCATCACCATAATTCCTTGGATCTTTTTCTCTGCAGCCTGGGGCCTGTGCTTAGCCCATTTTCATATCTCAAGCCCATTTTCATATTCTGCTCTGTGGCTGGTTTTTGTTTATGTAGTTTGAATTTCTCTCCTGTGCTTCTTCCCTTTTTTTACTGTTGTGTTAATTATTTTTCTTTAATGTCACATGTCATTCATCTCTCTAATTTTTTGGAGGATGTGAGCTGTTCTCCAATATCTCCTTATTTTCTGACACACTCCTTTCCAAAGTATTTTTTAAGATTTATTTATGCACGCAAGAACTGGGGTACAGGCCAGAGTGCAGGGAAGAGCGGGGAACACAATAGGCAGACTGTGTGAAATACACTGCTGAGCGGAGCAGGGGTCAAGACAGGAGAGGTCTGCTGCGCCATGCGGGTCACCTCCATGGCCAGGGATCAAACTGGTCCTGTAGTGGCTGCGGAGAGCTTCATAGTCTTTGCTCAACCCCTTCCACCACCAGGGAGGACCCTCATCTTTATTTTTGCATCACTTCCATGATAATATTCTTGCTGTGCTACTTTTGTGAATAATCTCAATCTTTCTTTCTTGTCTGTTATCTATCCGTGAGTAGGGGAGATGAACTCACCTAGACTCTGCTCTGATCATCTGGTGCTACTTGACTATTTCTTCTGCATCACAGAGGACTGGCTATTGATGATTTATATTTGTTGTCTACCTTCTTCTGGTGAAAGAAAGTGGGGTCTAGGGCAATGGGCAGTAGCGGATGGAACATTTTGTCCTGAGACACTTTCCCTCAACCTCTGCTGCCCCTCTGATGCAGGCAGCAACCCCACCAGCTTCTGAGGGTTGCCCCTTCGTGCACAGGACATTGTCCTATTTGCTGGATTCTAGAATTCAGGGGTGTGATATGTCTACCCATAGATGAGAGAGTTAACTGCAACCTTAGTTGGGTCTCTAGGAAGTGAGAAAGGAATCAGGAAATTTCCTTCAAATGCCATTGGAGACTCTTCACATGTTGTCAAAGGGAACTGCAAGGCGTGTGTGTTGGTGAGCCCATCCCTCTATTTCCTCCACAAAACCAGGTGATCATACCCTCTCCCTGCTACTTTCATAAACCATGGGGATTTATGTTCCCAGAAGTACCAGTATCTGTACAGGAGGCCACTCGGGGGGTCTGCTGTCCTAAGGGAGCTATTTCAGCAACCCCTTTCAAACCAGCCCCTGCCCACTGGCTGACCGGGCTGCTCCTCACACCCAGGGCAGCCTCCCATTTGCAGGACAGCTGGCCAGACCCAAGGTAGCCAAGTCCTAACAGGGCCTTGGGCCCTGGGTCCAAGCTTGAAAATTCAAGGCCTGGCAAAGCTCTGAAAATGTCAGCTACATAGAATCTGATGTATCTGAGAGGAGAGTGAGACCAAGATCCTTAGCAGTGCCAGGGTGCATGGGGGCTGCAGGGCCAGGGGCCAGAGTTGAGATTCCAAGAGTTAGAAGTGTGGGCAGAGACAGCGAGAAGACCTGAGTCCAGTGGTGCTGTGAGTTGGGAGTAAAGTGGGAGGCCAGGTACAGTTGCTGCGAGCTCAGGCACTAGATCAACTTCGTGGGCTCTACTTATTCTCATGGGTAATGTGTGCCTCATTAAGCCACCCAATTTAGAAGGTCTCATGAGCATTAAATAAAGTAAGCCCTGTAAAGCGTTTAGCTTGAGGTCCAGCCCAGTGTGTGTACATTCAGCTGACAACAGCTATGGTCACAGAAGAGAAACATGGAACTAGTGGTAGTGGGAGCTGATGCTTCAGCCTGGAGCAGGTTAGGCTGGGGAGGGCTGAGGGAAGCCCAGCTGATGCCTATATGGCCGTACCAGGGACTGGAAGCACTTCTAACCCCACCCTGTTCTGTTTTCCAGAAATTCATTACACAGCACACGGAGCCCTTCCATACCTGGATAGGCCTCACTGACAGTGATGGCACCTGGAGATGGGTGGATGGCACAGACCATAGGCTTAACTACAGGCAAGTTCCCTCGTTAGTTCCCACCCCGTTAGTTTGGCCTTGGGACAGCCACCTGGTCTTTCACCCCAACACATCAGTCCATTCCCTCTCATCCTTCAGGAACCAAATCCCTCCCCTCTCCCCCTCAAACCCCCAACCTCCACGGCTACAACTCTGCACCCTGAGCCCAAGGTGAGGTGGAGGTGTGGGTTGCTGGGATGGAGGGGAGCTCAGAGCTTGTCCTGCCTTCTTAGGAACTGGGCTCCCTTGCAGCCAGACGACTGGACGGGGCACGAGGTGGGTGGAACTGAGGACTGTGCGGAGATGAGGCCGGATGGCCGCTGGAACGACGACTTCTGCCTGCAGATGTACCGCTGGGTGTGTGAGATGAAGTTGAACATCACGGGCTAGGAGCCCGTCCTCCAGCATGTCTTTCTGATCTGCACCCTACCCAGCCCTGTCCCAGCTTTTTATTGGGGAATTTGAAGAAAGGAAGAAAAGAGTCAGAGGCATGAGGAAGGGTTGAGGACAGATAGAAGGGCGTGGATTAAGAACCTCAGATCTGAGAGGCTGAGAACCTATCTCCTACTGCAATTCATTGGAATTAGAATTTTGAGCCTTCAGTGGAGTTGGAACAAAAGAAACTAATACTTCAGACTCTGTGTGGATTGGTTATTTGGGCTTGGGAGATGTAGGGTGCAAAGAAGAAAGAGAGGATAGGGTTTAGAAAAGAAAAAGTTTATGTCCCAGACAGTTGCTCCTTGATACCCAGTAGTAAGACACTTTTCCAGTATGGCTGACTGGAAGCATGGCTGTCTCTTTTGGGACCACAAACACATCTGGACCTATCTCCAGCACAGAAATTGTCAGCAGCAATTTCTACAGTGGGAAAATATGGCCTTTGAAGATCATTCTGAAAGTGACCTTGAAAGGATCTTTAAGCAATTTGATTTTTGCTTTAATTTTTATTACAAAAGTAACATATACTATCAGTAAATTATGTCTCAAATACACACACACACTACAGGCAATGAGTAACTTTCCCAACCCCTCCCATTTTCCCCAGTTAAATATTTCACAGATACTGTATTGGTCAGGGTTTGCCAAAGAAAGAACCAGTAAGATGTGGATGTATGTATGTATCTATCCACACATACATATACATACACCCACGCATATACATGTACACATACACATGAGTGATTTATTATTAGGGACTGGCTCATGCAACTGTGGAGGGTGGCAAGTCCTGAGTTGACAAGCTGGAGACCCATGAGAGCTGATGGGGTAGCTTGAGCATGAAGGCGGCAGGCTCTAGATGCAGGAAGAGCCATTATTTCAGTATGAGTCTGAAGGCAGGAAAAATGCTAATGTCCCAGGCAGGAATCACTGTTCTACTCACGGGAGGCTTATCTTTTTGGTTCTATTCAAGGCTTCAGTGGATTGGGTGAGGCCCACCACACCGAGGAGTGCAATCTGCTTTACCCAGCCTACCAATTCAGATATTCATCCCATCCAAAAACACCTTCACAGACATACCCAGAATGATGTTTTACCAAATATTTTTGTCCTTCTGTCCCTGTCAAGTTGACACATAAAATGAACCATGATAAGTCCTTGTCAGGGAGTTTCCTGTGCATTTGCATATTCATGACACTGCATATCATTATATTGTTTGCTTTTTTCACTTTACATTGTCTTTGGACATCAATCCAATCTATGCTATTCCCTGGCCAGTTTTACCTCTCTGAATTTAACAGGGGTAGATTACAGAATGTGGATGTGCCACATGCCATTTAATGGTTCTCTGAAGTAGACAAGTAGTTGCTTTAGATTTTGCCACATGCTAATTGTTTTCAATCAATTTTTATTTCTCAGCTTATGCTAGGCGGACCTTTTAATTTTCAGCTGCAAAATTTTCTAGGACTTCTTCAAAATATGCATGGTTGGCATTAAATAAATTTTTTAAAAATTTATTTATGTATATGAGAACTGGGGTACAGGCCAGATATGTGGGGGGTAGAGGATTCACCAGAGACAGAGTGGGGAACAGAACAGGCAGACTGACTGAAATACACTGCTGAGGGGAGCAGCAGGTGAGACAGGAGAGGTCTGCCTCATCATGTGGGTTTCTCCCTGGCCGGCCTGGAATTGAACCGGCACTGCAGAGGCTAAGGACAGCTTCACAGCGCAGCGCTCAACCCCCTGAGCCATAGGGGAGGCCCTAAATAAAATTTTAAAGTAATAATACACATAATTGAAAGTCTTATAGGGCTAGAAGCAGTCACCTAATTTACTTCCTTCAGCCATTCCTGCTGTTCAGAGAAACAAGTTTCTGTGTTTTATCAGTCTTTTCCAGTATTAATACCTATATTTCTAAAGAATACACAAATGGAAATCTACTTTTTTATCAATTATAGACATAAATTAGTCACTATGTTGAAATGAGGTGCAATCTATTGTTAATTGCCAAGCCATCTTACTACATTTACTTTCTTGCATAATGTTTATTTTTTCTGAAGTTAATCATTTTTTCATTTACAACTTTCCCTTATATTCTTTGTTTTTCCCCACATATCCCCAACTCCCTGCTTTAAATTCTTTGAACCTATTGCAAAGGCTTTCTTAACTGTAAAAAAATCTCACAATATAATTTTCAAACTGGCCACACAATCAGTATTTCAGTTGTACTTTTCCCCCTGAGAACCACTGGCAGGAATCCAATTTTATGAATCCTTCACACAAATGTACATGATTGTGAGCAGCCCTCCTTAGGAAGAAAATACAAAATTAAGCATAAAAGTTAGTGTTTAAATGACAAATTTAAAAATCTGAAAATGACAGTAAACATCACAAAATCTAGATAAATGATATACTTTAAGTAATATTCACACATCTCTAAAATCCATCTCCCCGCCTGATTATTAACTTTTGTTGTATACTCATTGTTTATTTCCACATGTGACAAGGAGTTATAAGGTGATTTTCCAGAGAGAGAAGGGAAAGAGAATTGTTTCCTTATTACTGATGTCAGGTGCTTCAGGGTGTGTTTGTGTCCCACCTCTGTGTCATCCCCCACAAGTAAGTCTGCATAGTGGGTGGTAGAAGTACCCCCTCTCCCCATACACACACCCTGAAAGCCATTCCTGTACAGATGGGAAACCATGAGCATACACAACACGACTGCAAACTGATGCCCCTCTCAGTTCCAGCCAAATGTATTTCCAACTCAACCTCTCCGTTGGATGAAAAAGAAGCCAACTGACATGGAATAAAGTGTGAAGGAGAGAACATTGGAGTGGAAAGTGACAATGGTTATTTTAATCGATGGTAGCTCATTTAGCTGTCAATTTCATAATTTAAAAAAGAAGCAGACTTAAGCATGTCCTATGCTTGGAAACAAAAACATGGATAAAATAAAATTGCCTTTGAAAGATGAAAAAATTTGTGGGAGTCAATAGCTTCCTATAACAATAAGTAAAAGCAAAAATTGTTTCACAATATTTTAGAAATGATTAACCATGCAATCTATCAAAGAAAAACCTCAATGAATGCCAAAAAGGAGGGATTTTTAAGGCCTCATCTCACGTTATAATTAAAGTGATATGTAAATAATAAAGAAGGACCAGAATATTTTAGATCTTTGTAAATGAAAGTACATACTTTTCCGTACTACCATGATTCAAGTGAAAATAATCTAGAAACGAATCAAATATATCAAAACCTATGGAATGTAGTGAAAGCTAAACTCAGACTAAAATGTGCAGCATTGTGTTTATATAAGTAAAAGTTAAAGATTGACAATAAATAAGCCGGTGTTCAACATAAAAATCAGGAAAGTCAGCTATAAAAAATATTTGAAAATGGGCCTCCCTGGTGGCGCAAGGGGTTAAGGACTGCCCTATGAAGCAATGCACAGACTCTGCAGCACGAGTTCGATCCCTGACTGGCCAGGGAGAAACCACATGGCAAAGCAAACCTCTCCTGTCTCGTCCACTGCTCCCCTCAGCAGTGTATTTCAGTCTGCCTGTTCTGTGTCCCAATCTGTCTCTGGTGAATCCTCTCACCCCCCACATCTCTGGCCTCTACCCCAGCTCTTGTATGCATAAGTAAATAAATCTTTAAAAAAATAAATAAAATATTCCAAAATGTAGTAGTAGGAGGGAATAAATAAAAAGAGAATATTAGAAATTTCCAAAAATTAGTAGAATGAAGAAAACTAAAACCCATTTTTAAAGTAAAATTTTTATTTTTAAATAGTTGGACTCATAAGCAGTTGTATACAGAGAGATCCCATGTAACCTTTACCCAATATCCCCCAATGGTAACATCTTGCAAAACTATTGTATAATATGGTGTTCAGGATATTGGCATGATCCAGTCAAGATGCAGAGCATTTAACCCCTTAAGAATCCCTTGGGGAGGCCTCCCTGCTGGCCTAGGGTTAAGTCTCAGAGCTATCACCACTACTGCCTGAGTTATCCCCGGCCAGGGAGCTGACCCACATGGTGAAGAGATCTCTCCTTTCTCACCCACTGCTCCCCTCAGCAGTGTATTTCAGTTGATCCTCCTGTTCTGCTCCCCACTCTGTCTCTGGTAAATCCTCTTACCGCCCCCACCTCTGTCCTACACCCCAGCTCTTCTAGACACACCGAAAAAAGAATCCCCTGTGGAGCCACAGCTACCTCCATCCTCTATCCCATCTAGTTCCAAACCCTGGACAACCACTAACTGGCTGTGTATTTCCACAGTTTTGTAATCTCAAGAATGTCAGATAAATGGAGCCACACCCTTTGGAATTGACTTTATTCCCCCCACTCAACATCATTCCCTGGAGATTTGTTCAAGTTCTGGCTGGTGTCAGTGGTTGATTCTTTCTTGCCTCGTAGCATTCCATGGGATAGATGTACCACAGCTCGTTGAACCATAAATAGCAACTGGGTTGTTTCTAGCTTTGGGCTCTTACAAATAAAACTGTTATGGACATTCGCGTACAAGTTTTATTGTGAACATAAACTTGCTTTTTTGTAATAAATACCTAAGAGTACAATTGCTGGGTCATGTACTGATTGATTGGATGTTTAATTTTAGGAGAAGCTGCAAATTTTTTTCTCAGAATAGTTGTATCTTTTATCTCCCCATCAACAGTTTGTTCATCCCCTCACCTGTATTTGGTTGCTGTCACTTAAAATAATTTCTTTTAGTTAACCTGGCAGGTATGTATGATACATTACTGTGATTTTAGTTTTCATTTCCCTGATGTTATAATGATGTTGTCCATCTTTTCACATTTATATAGTTTTCCACCTGTATGTTTATTTTTGGAGAAGTGTCACTTCTTGTCTTTTACCCGTGGGTTTTTTTTTTTTTTTTTTTTGGTGTGTGTGTGTAGAAGAACTGGGGTGCTATGTTTATAGCAGCACTATTTACAATAGCTAAGCTTTGGAAACAACACAAATGCCCAAAAATAGATGACTGGATCAAGAAGATGTGGTATGTATACACCATGGAATATTACTCAGATAAACACATGCAGTTTGCAGCAACATGGATGGAGCTAGAAGGGATCATGCTCAGCGAAATAAGCCAGAAAGAAAAAGAAAAATACCGGATGGTCTCACTCATAGCAGGAATCTAGAAAACTTAAATAAGGGACCAGGAAAAAGAATAACTATAAGAAAGAAAAAATCAAAATCAACAAACAACTATGAACCAGAGACACACTATGGGGGGTGGGACAGGAAAGGAAGGATTGGGGTCAAAATA